CCCAGGACCCACAGCATCAGCATCACCTGGAAGCTTGTTAGAAATGCAGAATCAGAGGCTCCCCAGACCTCCTGAATCAGAAGCTATAGTTTGACTAGATCCCTATGTGATTTGCTTGCACATCACAGGTGAGAAGCAGGCCCGAGTCTAGAGGTTAGTCGGGTCTATGTGGTTGACTTTGAGGACAGGTTGTTGTCATTTGTGGGTGATGGTTGTAGATGACACATTTTCAGGGTTCCTACGTAGTTAGGAGACTGGATGTGGCGTCCTTGTATGAATCATCACAGTGACTGGTTAGCATTAACATCACAAAGCTACACAACATCACACATAATGAGCCCTTGATGGCAGCCAGCCTGTTGTGAGCAAAATATTTTGTGTGTTTATTACCCTTTCCAAAATGCTATTTGCAGCCATTATCTCAAGAAACAATTTCCCCAAACACCCATGGTAGTTCACTGGAAGAACTGGGCCTGGTACCTGGTGTCAGAACCCTTACTGTTATGTTCTTGTCACTGAGCCATGCTGTGGGGGATGGGGACGCTGCATTGACTTACGTTGTCAGGGCTGGAAATGTGAACAAGCAGAAAAAACATCACAGCAGATGCTGAGTAGATGTTCATAGAAGATGCTCAATGAAGGTTTGTTAAAGGTTGTTGCAACAAATGATGGAAAACATATGGTAAAAACTGTTTTCAGATTTAAAAGATTCATTTTCAATTTGATCTTTCTGACACCTTTCTAAGTTGATAGGATGAAAATTATTCATCTTCTCATTAAAAAAAATAACAGCTTTATTGAGATAAATTAACATACCATAAAATTCACCATTTAAAGTATATAACTCAGGCTTTTTGTATATTCACAAGGTTGTACAACCATCATCACTATCTAATTACAGAACATTTTCATCTCCCCAAAAAGAAATCCTATATCCTTTAGCATCACTTCTTAGTCTCTCCTCTCCCAGCCCCTGGCAACCACTAATCTACTGTTTTTGTCTCTATGGATTTGCCTATTCCGGACAATTCATATAAATGGAATCATATAATGCATGCCTTTTTTTGACTGGCTCCTTTCACCTAGAATGTGTTCAAGGATCATCTATATTATAGAAAATATCAATATTTCAACCCTTTTGTGGCTATTAATAATCCAATTCTACGAATATACTATATGTTGTTTATCCATTCTCAGTTGTTAGACATTTGAGTTAAGATTTTGTGTGGATATATGTTTTAATTTACCTGGTTATATATCCAAGATTGTAATTGTTGGGTCATATGGTAACTCTACATTTCATTTTTTGAGGAACTTCCAGATAGTTTTCCAAAGGACTGCACCATTTTACACACCAGAAATGCATGGTGGTTCCAGTGTTTGTACATCCTCTCCAATACTTGTTGTTATCTGTCCTTTTACTCTAGCCATCCTAGTGGCTATGCGCTCATTTTATCGGTCAGAAACCTGAGGCTTCGTTATTTGCCAGAGTTTGTAGAGCTATTAAGTGGCCAACTCAGATCTTTTTTAAAAGCAAACACTTGTGTCATCCATGTTCTTGCTAGTCGTGCTTTAAATCCGTTGCTCTTACTAAGTTACTTACTCTTTACAACAGCCTTTAGGGAAGATGGCCTTGTCATCTTTATTTACAAATGCATACAGGGCCAGGACTGGGCCCAGGGGAAGGTCCTTAGGTCCCAAACTTAAGAAATCACTTTCAGGTTCAAACAGCACTCGCCTGACCCTTTGTGCTTCACTGGCCTCATCCTGCTCTTGGCCCTGTTTGAAGAAACTGAGGCATCAGAACACTGAGGCATCAGAACACTGAGCTTCAGGGTCCAAGTCAACAACTACTATACTACACCATCATATATATCTTTGATCTCCAAACTGGGATTTTTCTATTTCTTTCTTATGGCTTCAGTTTCTGAAATTAGCCAGGGCTGTGACAAGTGGGGAAAATTCTGGCGATGGGTTATGGGGAGACCACGCAGAAGTATTCAACTTAACAGCCCCCGGCCTCTCCGCATGGACCCCTGGGTTAGCCCTCCACATGGAGGGCTAACTGGCCGCACAGTCCGCCTTGGCCACATCTGTGCTCATTTTCCCAACTCTGCATAAACCTTCCTGGTTCGTGTCGGCTGCTCTGCAAGTGGCCAGATGTACTTTGTGTTGGCGGGGAAGAGGCCATTCTGAATGGTCAGGATGATGGGCTCTGACCAGCTGTAAGGAAAACACAAGTCCTCCTGGCCAAGTGGGGATGAACATGCCGCCGAGTCAAGTATTCAGAAATCACATCTCACTATCACAGCCTGATTGGCTGCTCATTCTCATTAGTCTGGTTCTTAGAATTAGCTGGTCATTTATTTACAAATGATCATCTTTCTGATGGTGTTACTATTTGTGGGTTTTGAATGGTTCTCCTGCTTAGGTAGAGCCTCCCACAAGGCAGTGTGAAAAGAAAAATATACATTTTCACATGTACACGTTACCCTCAGGAGTGATGGGCAGCCTTTGGAAAGATGCTTGTACAAGTCCTTAGCCAACAGCAGTTACTGTGGCTGCTCTGCTCCCAGGACAGAGGTCCAGTCAGTCTTGCTTCATCAGCTCTCACTAGGTGAGCTGCCGCAGTGCAGTCTGGCCTAGGTCTTTTGACATATGTCACAAACTCAGAGGGTTTTTGTAAAACTTTATACTTATAGTTATTCATTAAATATGACAAATTTTGCTGTTGAATTTTCACCTTTTGGTTTGGAATTTCAATTCCATCCTATGACTTTGTTTCTCAAAGCGGTGGGTCTGTGGACCAACAGCACCAGCAGCACCTGGGAGCTTGTTGGAGATGGAGAATCTCAGGCCCTGCCGCAGACCTCCTGAACCAGACCTTGTCTCTTAACAAAATCCCTTGGTGCTTCCTGGGCACATCCATGTTTGAGAAGATCTGCTCCATTTCTGACACCTTCAGTCGCCTTCAACTGGGTGTTTCCACCCAGTATTTACTTCGAGGCTAGAATTTTTGGTAGGCTTTCAGATCTTTAAAAAAAAGACACACGCACAGAGAGAAATTCTTTCCTTTGTCTTTGCATGATGTCATTCATTTTACCTGGCCTGCCACAAGAAAGAAAAAGGCAAATTACATTCAAGTTATACATATTTTTAAGACTAACTTCTTAACTGCATCTCTTAAAGCAACATGCTGGATCTCCCATCATTAACAGAATCCCAAGTGTTGCCAAGATTAATTGAGAAATGCCTAAAGGCAAAATAAGCACTGTAGCATAGTTTAATTCAAAACCGTATCAGCTAAGAATGAAGGTGCAATTAGTGATGAAGATGTTAATAACTGGTTGTGGTCTGTTAAATTTTATATTCAGTGGTTACTAGTATGTTCAGTGAAGATATTTCCCCATGAGGACAGAAATTAATGTTTCACCTTGATTGCTACTTAATGTGCTTATTTTAATGGAGCCATCTTGTAGAAACCCTTGGGCACATTTCCAATTTTATGTAAAAGTAGAATTATTATGGAAGCATATGACTTTAGAGTTGGAACGACCTTCGTAGTAATTTAATCCAGTTCAGTCATTTTACAAATAAGTAAGAGTTATATGACTTACTTAATGAAGTCATTCCACAGAATATTGGAACCTGCGCTTCCCAACTCTCAGACTCGTGGCTGACACTTTTCCAGATCCCTCCAGTCAAAAGTTCTTTCTCTTGCTCTGGCCGGTGTGGCTCAGTTGGTTGAGTGTAGTCCCATGTACCAAAAGGCCGCCAGTTTGATTCCTGGTCAGAGCACATGCCCAAGTTACAGGTCAGTCTCTGACATATTGGAGGCAACTGATAGATGTTTCTCTCTCTCTCTCTCTCTCTCTCTCTCTCTCTCTCTCTCTCTCTCTCTCTCTCAGATAAAAACAACAACAACAACATATTAACAGGAGAAAGTGCTTCCTCTTGCCTCCCAGTTCTGAGTGCACCATTTTTGCAATGCCTCCAAAACCTTTAAATTGCTCTGCATTATGTTCTACTTGCTTTTAGTTGTAAGGCTGAGGTCTTGGGGAACTATGCTTGATTCATTCTTGTATTTCATTACCATTCCTATATTATGCAAACAGCTCCTTTATAGTCACTTTACATGCATTGTTGTGCTGGACCTGGTTTTCCTCTCCTCACTGGAGCTGATTGTGTCTTCACAATGGCAGCTTGAAGTTGGCCATGCTGGGAATATTTACACTTTGGCAGTGAAAAAAATTCTACAGATCAGAACTTTTATGCCCTGGAATGCCAGTTGTCGAACATTTCCCAGCACACTACTTTTTACATGACTTTCATAAGGTCTTACAAGGCAGCAGGTCTCAATAAATCCATACCAATGTGTAGATGACCATTGTTCAGCATGGGTTGCTTCAAGAGTGATGTGTAGCCAGTTGCTCAACCTCCTCTGGTTTCTTAAGGGAGTAAGTCTGACACAGTGCAAGTCAGGCCTAGGACTACATTAGAATTTTGCTGCTTGGCTAAATACTACTTATCTAGAAATGCTATTTGGACATGAATGGTAATGGAAACAGGGTCTGAAATATCAGGCATAGTTGAGTGAGAAAAAACCCACAAACCACTATCAGAAAAAAATGGACAGGAAGTTACTATAGCTGAAATTACAATTATATCTTTATACTTCTCAAAAAACCTTCAGTGGCTCCTCCTTACAACCTATAAAAATACCCAAACTCCCTGACATAAGTCATGTACAGACCACAGCTCACCGTCCTAAACTCATTTTCAACTGCTTACATCACCCACCTTCATTCTGTCTTCCAGCCACTGCAGAGCCTGTTCCAGCCCCCAGGACATTCCCTCTTCCTGGAATGCACCCTCTGCCTCCCTGTCCCACCACGGGCTCTCTCCTAAACCTCTCTACCCAGTCCCTCTACCATGGACCAGAACTTCTGGGCGGACGTGACCATTCCCATGACTGTTCATCTCCTTTCTTGTGTCTGTAGGAGCAGGACCCGAGGTCCCATCGGCCCTGGCAAGTATGGCTATGGGAAGGCCCCGTACATTTTACCACTGCAGACGGACTCCACACACTCACCGCAGAGGCTTCGGAGGCAGAGGTCCTCGTCCCGGCATTCCAGGTCCCAAGAGGCATCGGGTCCTAGCTATGGCTATAGCCCTCCACGTGGCCGGGCCCCCCACCATGGACCTCTGTACCGGAGTGACAGTGGCCCTCATTCTGGACTGCAGGCCTCAGAGGCTTCCATCTACCAGCTGCCTTTGACCCATGACCAGGGCTTCCCTGTAGCTTCAAGTTCCTTGCACAGCCCAGAAACAAGCAGCAGCCATGGCATGGGAGCCCACAGCACAGCCCTGAGCTTCGCCCAGCCAGCCCGGTCTGCAGCAATCTCCTGCATTGGGGCCTATCGCCAATACAAGCTGTGCAATACCAACGTGAGTACATGCCTCTTCTGGGCCTGGGATGGCTGCTAGCTTACCTTCCTGTTGCGTGGCAGTGAAGATGTGGAAGGCAGCAAGACATGGTTTTCTAGGCCATGTTTTTGGAATTTTTTTTGGAGGGAGGAGTGCAGAAAGGAGGAAAAAAGAAATAAAGGGAAAACATTGCTTTGGGAATAAGAGAAATCCATTAAGTAATTACCTATTTCATGGAGTAACTAAAACACCCTTATTTCTTAAGTTGTTGGTGTTACTAGAAAGATAGGTGTGGCAGATCCTGATCCAAAGTATATAATCATCATAACTAGTAACCGCCACTTGTTTTCCACTGGAAATGGCAAATTCCTCCCTGGGCCCTCCTCATGGTGGCTCCTACGGACCATGGAAGTTGTGAACTTCGAGGTGCTCTGTCCCAACATAGTGCTTTTAGAAACCCAGTGAAAGGCGCCGAGACCAAAGGAGGAGGAAGTGGTGGTACCACACAAAGTCCTTTTTTCACAGCCAAGTTCCCCTGTGTGCTAGGCCATGGTTTTCAGTTTTTAAACCTTCCTTCCCTCTCATTTCTCTCCATTTATTCTCCCCAAAATAATTTCTTGAATCACTTATTGACAACCTATTGCTTCATATCAAACAACTTCCAAATTCTCAGTGGCTTTATGTCAACAATTTCTCAGGGATCTGTGGGTCAAGTGCAGTTTGGCTAATTTAGGGCAGCCAGTGGTGGCACCAAATAAGTGGGAGTTTAGGCATTTGACTAGCCTTGGTATCACTCAGTAAGTTTCCTTGGAGTCTCCCTGCTCTTCCAGGCATACACACACTTTAGATACAGACCTTGAGAAAGTCTGATAGTGAGTAATTGAAGATTTCACAACTAATGAATAGCAAAGGAAATTATAAATGGAAACTACATAATATGACCAAATGTGTTTAAAAAGTATCAGTTTAAAAACTATATATAAAAGAGAAAGGAATGGAGAATGTGTAAAGGTTAAATTTCCAAGTTGCTATATTTTTAATTAATAATTTAATCTGCTTTAATACTCTGTTACTGGGTAACAGGACAGCTGTTATATATTAGCTTCAATTTCCTCATTAAAGATATATTTCCTGCCATGGAGTCCATAGAAATGACTTAATTTGTGATTTTAATAATTTCTTTGAATTCCTGGATTGCTTTTTAGCTTGTTCTTCAACTGACAGACTTCAGGAATTTTTGTAAAGCAGCGATTTTTCGAAAGCCATTACTAATCAGTCAACCAGTAAGTCTTAATTGAGCATCATTGCTCGTCTTGTAACAAAGTTGTGAGGACCATAAATCAAAAAGAAATATTAGTGCCAGTGATTAGACATGGTCCCTGTTCATTCATTGCAATTCTTTTAAGATGAAATGAATTCATTTCCAGTGGAGAACTCATTCTCCCATTGACTAGTCTGTTTCTTAATTTTGAAGACCAAGTAAATCAAAGATAATGGAAAAGGGAGAGGGTATTTGGCATATATGTGGACCTGATATTTTCTAAGCATTTTTTCATCTAACCTACATTTCTTTAGACCGGGCACTTCTTGCCAGACCTATGCTTCCATAGCAGGGCTGTCCAGCCCATGTATCAAACATGGTTTCTCTAGGTTCTGGGGTAACTCCACTACTGAGGAGATTGAATTGCGATGAATCTTCAAAAATTCTTGTGAATTCATTATATTTTGGAAATAGGCAAAACAATGTTTCAAACCCAGGACAAAGATGTAGTAGACATAATAATAAAATATTGGCAAAGGATCATTCAAGTTTAATTGCCTTCTCTGCTGTAACACTTTGCACAGTGTCCTCCCCAGTGCACCCTATCACCCCAAGCCACATCCTATTTACTCTTATTGAGTAAGCATTCCTTAGCAGTTCTATTACTGTATATCTTCTTTTTATAAGCCCATGGCTTCTTGTGACTTGGACCATACTTTATGAACACTTTCATTTTTAAAAATTATTTTTAAAATAATTTCTATTTCTCAATTACAGTTGACAAACAATATTATATTAGTTTCAGGTGTAAACCCCAGTGATTAGACATTATATAACTTACTAAGTGATCATCCTGGTAAATCTCATACACATCAGACACCATATATAGTTATTAGAATATTATTGACTATATTCCTTATGCTATACTTTATATCCCCATGACTATTTTGTAACAACCAATTTGTACTTCTTAATACCTTCACCTTTTTCACCCATTCTTCCAACCCCTCTCCCATTTGGCAACCATCAAAATGCTCTCTGTATCTATGCATCTGTTTCTGTTCTGCTTGTTTATTTTGTTTTTAGGTTCAATTATTAATAAACATGTATTTTTTGCAATTTATTGTTCATATTTTTTATCTTTTCTTCTCTTCTTCTTAAAGAAGACTCTTTAACATTTTGTTTAATATTGGCTTGGTGGTGATGAACTTCTTTATCTTTTTCTTGTCTGGGAAGGCCTTTATATGTCCTTTGATTATAAATGATAGCTTCACGGGGTAGAGTAATTGATCTTGGTTGTATGTCCTTGCTTTTCATCACTTTGGATATTTATTGCCACTCCTTTTTGGCCTGCAAAGTTTCTATTGAGAAATCAGCTGACAGTCTTATGGGAGCTCCCTTGTGGGTAGCTGACCAGCTTGCTCTTGCTGCTTTTCAGATTCTCTCTTTGTCTTTAACCTTTTGCATTTTAATTATAATGTGTCTTGGTGTGGACCTCTTTAGGTTCATCTTGTTTGATACTCTGCGCTTCCTGGACTTGTATGTTTATTTCCTTCACCAGATTAGGGAAGTTTTCTGTCATTATTTTTTCAAGTAGGTTTTCAATTTTTTGCTCTCTCCCTTCTCCTTCTGGTGCTCCCATGATGTGAATGTTGGTCCCCTGAAGTTGTCCCAGAGGCTCCTTACATCATTGTTTTGGGTTCCTTTTTCTTTTGCTGTTCTGATTTGGTGTTTTTTGCTTCTTCTATTCCAAATTGCTGATTTGATTCTCACCTTCATCTACTTTACTATTGATTCCCTGTAAATTATTCTTCATTTCAGTTAGTGTATCCTTCATTTCTGAGTGGTCTTTTTAATGTTTTCTTTGTACTTTATCATGCTGTTGAAGTTCTCATTACAGTTCCTTGAAGTACTCACTGAGTTACTTAAGCATAATTATAACCATTGTTTTAAACTTGTATCTCGTAGTTTGTTTGCCTCTGTTTTATTTAGTTCTTTTTCTGGAGATTTCTCCTGCTCTTTCATTTGGGACATGTTTCTTTGTCTCTGCATTTTGGCTGCTCGCCTGTGTTTGTTTCTATGTATTAGATAGAGCTGCTAATTCTCCCAGATTTGATAGAGTGATCTTGTATAGTAGGGTCCTGTAGGGCTCAGTCACACAGCTTCTCCAGTCACACAAGCTGGGTACTCAAGGTGTGCCCCTGTGTGGGCTATTTGCACTGTCCTATTGTAGTTGAGCCTTGATTGCTGTTGATGCACCCCTCCCCCCTCCCAGGCCATTCAGCTGCGAGGACTAGCTGCAACTGCAGTGTAGGAGCTGCTGTGCAGGAGTCAATCATATGTATCAGGACTTGCTTCAATGTGGCTTTGTTGCTCATCAAGTCTACCTTTTGAGTGTGCCATTAGTGGAAGTGGTAAGGTTGAAATCTGATGTGGTCTGAAGCTTTCCACCAGGTGCACTGGCTCTGGGGCATTCCAGAAGGTACAAGGTGAGCTACTGCCTGTGCCCTGGCTGGGGCCACTCAGCACAAGCTACAGAATGATCTGCAGATGGCTTCTTCTTGTGCTGTACTTGGAGGTGCCCAGGAGAGGCTAAGTTGTGAACCAAGGCCTGCTGCTGCTAGTACTGGGCCTGAGGCCCTTAGCAGAAGGTATGGTGTATGAAGAGGCCAGCTGTTGCTTATTTGAGAGATTTTAAGGAAGTCCAAAGCACGAGACAAGAGAGGCCATTTGTATGAAAAAGCCACTGGAAACAGCTTGGGTGGGCCTGCAAGTTGTGTGGTGCTGGGGTCTCAGGGAATCACTAGAGCAAGACAAACAATGTGAGCCATGTTGATGAAGACTCAGTATGGTTCCCACATGCTGGCTCTGTGGTGGGGGTCGGTCTAAGAAAAGGAACAATGGCCTCTGCCATCACTTTTGTCTGGCAGAAAGCTGTCCCCCAGCTCTCTCCCTGATGCCAGATAATTCATTTCCTCCACACATGTCCCTGGTACTTTTTAAGCTGCTGCCCCAGTGCTGGAGCTCAGATCAAGTGAATCTGAGTAAGTCCATGTGTGGGCCCTTTAAGAGGAATGCCTGGGACTCCAGCAGTCCTCTGTTTCACTCAGCCACTGGTTTTCACAGCTAGAAGTTATTGGGACTCCTATTCCTAGAAATGGAACTCTAGGCTTGGCGGCCTGGTGTGGCTGGGACCCGTTGCTCCTCAAGGGTGTCCTCCATAGCTAAGATATCCCTCCTGATCTTAAAATGCCACTTGTAGGTGTAGGACTAGCCCATTCTGCCTCTTTGCGCCTCTTACCAGTCTTGATGTGGCTTCTTCTTTATATTCCTAATTGTAGGACTTCTGTTTAGCTAGATTTCAGGAGGTTCTAAATGATGGTTGTTCTGTAGTTTAGCTGTAATTTTGATATGGTTGTGAGAGGATTTGAGTACTGTATTCACCTTTATGACCATCTTGATTAGAAGTTTTATACCCTATGAACACTTTAAAACTCTCTGTTAGGGGTCCCCAAAACCACACCTAGGTTTGATGATTTGCCAGGAGGACTCACAGGACTTGGCATGTAGTCTACAGTCATATGCATAGCTATGATTTATTACAATGAAAGGATATAGAGAAAAATCTACAGAGAGAATAGCACATGGGGCCAAGTCTAGAGGAAATCAGGCACCAGCTTCCAAGGGTTCTGTCCCAGTGGAGTCTCACAGGACACACTGAATTCCCCAGCATTGAGTTATGACAACATCTGTGGAAGGT